ATATATATATTCGAGTCGACCACTTATACTTGGCAATATTGTGAAAGAAAGACCTATGTGATCTTTTGCCGAGGAAATACAATTTTTTTTTGTTATAAAAAATAATCCCCTTATAATTTTGGCAAAAAGATCACTCACAGAAGGTCATATTACAAACAATACAAATTCCAAAAAAACATAAATAACACATCAATCATATAAATCTCAACTACTTGATGTCATTCATACAACCTAATATTGTGCTTGAGAATATAAAATAAAAGAATAAACAAATAAAAGAAAAGATGCTAGAGATTACCTCAACCAGGTTTTTTACACCCCACACCGAGTCACCACATCCAATGGTACGGGATCTGTAGTCTAGCTTCAATCTCAAACCGGGATAGCTGATTTTGGCCAAATTATGTAACCACCCTTAAAATCTCTACTAAATCTTAACCCCCAAAACTAACTTAGGCTTCCCTCTAATTTTTCCAACCCGTGGTTTCTTCTTAGCTCTAAAAAGGAGAGAAAGAGTACTACCTAAGGTTTTGGTGGCTCTAGAGAGGAGAGAGAGAGAGTATTACTTAGGGTTTTGGTGAGAGAAAGTTAGAGAGAGAAATATGGAAAGAGGAGTGGGGCGTACTCTTCTAGGAGAGAGAGAGATTGTGTATAGAGATTGGGGGGAGAGCACCCCTATTTATAGTGGATATTTAGGTTTAGGGTTTTTTAGGGTTTTTCCATAGTTTGTCTCTTTCATGAGATTGAATCTAGACCGTTAATCAAGGTGGCTTGTAGGGTGAGAGATCGGAGCCATCAAATCCATAGATGGATCATCAACATTATGAAAGGTGTTTTGACCATTATCCCTCTTTCCTTAAACCATTTTCCCATCAACATATTTAAATAAAATAAATATTATGCATTCCATAAAATTGCATGATCCATATCACATATTCCATAAGGATATGTCAATAATTCTCAAGCAAATAAATACTACCAAATAAAATAAGGTCAATATTTTCCTTCCAAGATTTGACCACATGCCACAAATCAAATTATTATATTTAATAAACTTGAACACAAAGCAACAAGAGAATCCAAGGGGTGGGGCATGCCACCCCTTTGTGGCACACGTGGGCCCCCACCCACATGCCACATGGTGGGCCCATGTGCACTTTGGGTCCCCCATGGAATTTTATAAATAATTTTAAAATTAAACAATTTAATATATGAATTGTTACAATCTTATCAAATCAATAACTGTATATTTATAAGTCCAAAAAACATA